CGCACAAGAAAAGAAAAAAAAAAAAAGAGAGTCTCACCGGCAACATGTACGCAACAAAAAAAAAAAAAAAAACAGAAAGAGATTCTTGAAGGTAATGTCTTACTGTTGTTAGATCATAAGAAAGTTGAATTTTTTTTTTTTTTTTTGATGACGGAGTGGGTGTCCGAGTCAATCCTTACGGGACCCGACTAATCCCACTCCGACCCGGGAAAAGAGGCCCCATCCCCCCGAACACGATAATCACAGGATTCGGACCCTTGCGCGCACTGGACACCAGCTCCTAAGGAGGTTTGTTGAGACCAACCGAGTTGCCCATGAATGGCAGACAATTTGGTGGGAGGCAAGGGTTGAACCCCTGATCTCCCACCCTACCAGGAGAGGTGGTGGCCACTGAGCTTGCCGAGCCATACTTAAACATGTAAAATGTATAGCTAGCTAACTAGATATATGCTTCAAAAAAAAAGTTATTGCACTACGTAGCTCAATTGATTTTCATCACCACATAAATGTTGTAGAAGATATTTAACGTGACAAATTCTCTTATGCGCATACCTCGAGCTTCCCAGTTGTTTCCTCGCTTTGTGCCACAAGCAACAAATAAGAGGTTATTTATGGTTTTTTTCACTTCAATTCCATACTTTAATTTGCTATTTTTCTTTTCATTTTTTTCCTTTTCTTAAACAGATTTCTATCCTTAATATAGCAATTGCAACTACAATTGTGTTTCATGGACTGGCAGTAGTTTACTTGAGGTAGTCTAGACTATTTTGACAAGTGAATAAAGAATACCTCCAAAAATATTTTTCAATGTTCGTGCTGCATAAATTTCAATAAATTCATGTAAAAAAATTATGATAATGATGTGAGAAAAAAGTGATGCTAATTCAAGCATAAACGAAAGAAAGAATTGTCCCGGAATGCACACATTTCCATTCACATGTACACATTTAAGATGCCAAAAAAAAAATATTATCTCTTGTTTGAGAGACTTTATAAGACCAATCATCAATGTTGCATTATATTTTGTTTCTACCCATAATATGATACTGATCATGGTTAATTTGGAAGCATTCAAGAAACAGAACGTACGTGAATGATAGGAAATCATCTAAGTAATTTTAAGAAAAGGGTGAGTTATTTGTGCAATTAGCCATTAAGTTTTAGGTACATCATGCAAACATCTTCTGCTTTTACATATGCAGGAAGAATCCTGCTAAAAAAAAATTTATGGGTTGATTTGACGACTAATAAAGGCCGAAGCACACGACATCATCTAAGAAAAGCCAATAATACCAGTGATGATGTATGCCCATCAAAAATAACAAGGTATGATGTGCTAATGTACATTTTGAAATTTAAAGTTGTGGTTTATATATATCTTCCTATGGGACAATTGTATCATGCAAGTGAATTGCAATTAGGTACTACATATCCAAAATGTCGAAAAGTTTTAATAATAGGGAAAAAAATTTTCATGAGTTTTTGCCCCCACAATACTTATAACTTTCCTCCTTTTTTTTTTTTTAATCAGCTCTTTTTGATAATTACCTAAAAACACTCTTATAGGTTAAAGATATCAGAAGTTACAAAAATGCTGTGGCTTTAATGTTTCAGAGAACATTCCAAGAGGCACAAGAAAAAACAAATTGGGTTCACTTAGATGACTGCTTTTTAGGCGTTTGTATAAAACTTCACTTGAAGTTACTAAAGAAATTCGTATGAAAGTGTTTAGGGAATATGTGAAAAACATTTATATATTTATTTTTCTTTCCTTTTTTTCCTTTCTTTCATCTCCTCTTCTTCCCCCTTCCTTCGTCCCTCTCCGTTGTTGCCAATGCTTTCCTTCCCCCACTGTTGCTGCATTGGTGTTCCTTTTCCTCTCTCATCCCCTCCCTACTCCTCCTCCTCTCTTCGCTCCCTTCCCCTCCTTACCTCCTTCCCCCACCACCCCCTCTCCCCTCTCTCCCTTCACCCTATCCCCCTCCCTTGCAGCATAAAAAAAATTACCCCATATATCATTTAATAAAAAAAAAATACAATAAGAAAAGAACCTAAACGGATCACTACTCCACATACGCCCCCAAAAAAATCAACCTTTTCGTGACTAGATGAATAAAAAATTATCCCTAAATCATTTAACCCAAAAAAAAATCAAAAAGAACACATAAGCAAGAGCTAATTGCTACTAATCTAGCAAAATTAAACAAGCAAACAAAAAGGGTTATTAAATTAAAAAGCTCAATAGTCCAAACTAAAAGAAATATCATGCCTAATTACGAAAAAAAAAAACAGAGAGAGAGAGAGATAGGAATGTTACAAATATTGTGGCGCCACTAAAATTTCTAAATCTTTCATTATCATTTCTTCTTATATCTTATTTTGACACTTTCGTGAGTATTTAACATACTTACAAGTAGAGGTGTCAAAATGGGTAATTTGGATGGGTTTGAATTTGTTAAAATGGATAATGGATATAACTGAATCAATCTATTTATACCTATTTAATTAGATGGGTATAAATGGATAAGTCAAAAAAAAAATTGGGTAACCTAATTACCCATTAATAACCCATTTATTTTAACTTTTTGTAAACTCATTTAATTTTTTTTTTCAAACTAACTTATTAATATATACTACCCTTTGCCTCCATCATTAGTTTTAAATATTTACTTATAATACTTAATAAGCCTAATTATCAATTTTTTTTCCATCCATCCTCTATGTCACAAAATTACATACTATTTAATAATTGAATAACAAGAATATAAAATTTTGAAATAAATACTATAAAAGTTAACATAAAAACTAAATTCAAAAATTTTGAACCTCTAGCATTTTTTTCCTGTAGAAGTCTAAAATTTCATTTTGGAAAGGTAGGAAAAGAGGCTAAAACTTGTCATAAATTATTAATGTTGAAAAATGAGCAAGTTAACAAACTAAGGGAAAATAAAATAATAATATAAAACTAACAAATAATAATAATAACGAAACAAAAGTAGTTAACATCATGACAAAATGAAATATCTGAAAAAAAAAATGGGTGGGGGAAGAGAGGAAGTTTGGGGTAGACAATTCTAATTGGGTCAGTTGAGTTTGATAAAAAACTCAATAATACTCATTTAATATATTTATACACATATGCAAAAGCTTAACATGCCCATATTCATCCATTCATGGATGAGTATGGATAAATTTAGTTAAATGGGTTTGCTTGTCACTTATATTTACAAGTAATTACCGATGGAACTATTTATCTGTCTATAACATTCCCTGCATGTGATGCTATTATGATCCATGATAGAAGAAAAAGAAAAAATAAACTTTAAAATGTGAAGGTCCAGCCCAAGCCCCTTGTTGAGGCCCGCAAAACGACTCGTGTGTCCGCAGTAATCGATGCGACAAAGGTTTGTCGAAAAGCACGGCTCCTCGTTTATTTGATTCGGAATTGTGTTTCTTATTCCTTTGAAGAGTTAGTTTTGGACTTGCGATATCCATGATTTACTTTCAAGATTATTAAGGAGAAAATTTTCGAAAGGTATTAGCTTCATCAGTAGTTCATCCAGGTTACCAATTATTCATAGTGAAATGACAGGAATTACAATTAGATATTGTTAATTTTTGTATTAGAAATTTGCTGGAAGAATGTATTCACTTATACTTCTTCAAGTATATACAGGACGTCCATTAGAAAAATCCTAAAATAAAATCAAACGGGATATTTCTAATACAAAAATTCGCCTAACTTAACCTATAATATATCTATAAATACTGTAAAATTCATCTAACCTGCCACATATATACACATATTGTAAAATTCACATAACTTACGATGTATATACACAAACTACAATTATTATCTTTTATTACATTTATATATTTTCTCTATTTAATTTTACCTACTTTTTCTCGTATTTATTTATTTTTTCTAATTAATCTTACATTTCCAAAAGTATGACACCTAAAATCTGGACCCAATGAGCACCCACTGGACAGATTCTTTTTTTTTTAAAAAAAATTTAAAAACATTTCTTACTCACAAAACTAATCTGCTGGTAAGTTTTTCTATCGGTTCCAGAACTACCTTCCCAAATTTACTGATTAAGAAATCTACGTATATATAGATACAGAGATATTTCTCGTTTTGCTCAATTTTGGTGTTGCCCATATTCGGATTTGATTGAATTCTGCAGTGCTGCAGGTTGATTTTCTTTCGTCTATTTCTTTTTTCCCCTTTCAAGATTTCTAATCCGGCAATTTGGCCATTTGGAAAGAATATGACCACTAACTTGAAAAAAAAGATTGTGGAAGTTAGTGGTTAAAAATTGTTGTGGTGAAACTTAAAGGGTTAATTCCACTTTGTCCCCCCAAACTTTGGACGATTACTCACTTTAGTTCTTAAACTTCAAAATGGGACACTTAAGTCTCTAAATTTATAAATACCTTCCAATTAAGAAAAATTGTGAACAGAATCTTGAATGCCGTGGTGGTCGAAGTGTCTTATTTTATAAGGGTTTAGAAATTTAAGTGTCCCATTTTATAAGTTTAGGGACTTAAGTGTCTCAATTTATAAGTTTTAAGGATTTAAGTGTCCCATTTTGAAGTTTAGGCACTAAAATGGGTAATCGTCCAAAGTTTGGGGAGACAAAGTGAAATTAACCCAAACTTAAAAGGTTGTGGCAAATTACAAAGCCACCAGCCCTAAGCTGAGTGCATCTCAAATTTTTTAATCATTGGTCCCCTTCAGCATCTGCCTGTTGTATCGGTGGTGCGATCTTCCCTCGATAAATTTTCAAAAGGAAGAAGGTAAAGACTTGCAATTTACTCCCGCCCTAAGTTCCTAACACACGCACACAAGATAAAAAAAGAATTTAAAAAACAGAGAGAGAAAGAGAGAGAGAGTCTTGAATGCATACTGTAAGTAACTATTCTTTTTTTTTTTTTTTTTTTTTGGATTTGAACTATAACTATTCTTAGATCATGACAAAGTCAGAGATCTTGAATATCAATAGTTACGACAGACAGAAATCTGATATCAGAGTGAAAAGCATGGCAGGTACCATGGTGAACGACTCCCCCAACAGTAGCACTGGTTGCTTCGATTCTGCTCGTAATTATCTGGACCGCTTTGAATACAGGATCGGTTATGGCAGTCATCATATCGCAGTGCTGAAGATGGGGATAAGTCTATTGGAAACCTTTGATCTGTATATTAGAAAGTGTAGGAGGAGGAGGAGGAGGAGCAAACGGGGTACGTGTTTGGAAAAAGACGAGGACAAGGATGATGCTAAGTCTGACAGACTTAGTAGTATTTCTTTCCGGATTCAAGATCTGGTTTGGGGGATACGGCGCAGACTTGACTGTGGTGCGTCAGATCATAGGGGCATCAAATGTGAGCTCAACAAAATCGGTGAAAATATCAACTTGTTTTTTGAAACAGATATCAAGGAATTGGACATCATCAGTTTGTTGCTTTACTACTCACTGGAAGACTTGCAACTAGTTATGGATTTCACCGATTCCATATCAGTTAATCTAAAGCGTCTTTCCTCATACTGCAAGTTTCATGCATATGAAGCTCTAAGGACTGTACTGGAAACCCTTCAAGAGAAGCTAATGTTCTTGAAGAGTTTCGCTCGCTTTGCAACACTACAACGTGTTGAGGGTCAGCCATTGATAGATCTGTTGGGTCACGTTGAGGTTGTGGCGGTCAATGCTGTTAGCTTGGCTTTTACATTTTGGTTTCAAAGACGCAATGAGAAAGTGCGCGATGAAATGCAATTTGAAATTTCTCAACTAATACACAAGATGATTGATCCCGTTGATCCCCAAGTCCGAGAGATCTATACCCATGTCCTGGAAGCTTCCAAGTTATCAAAATCATCCGACACTTTAGCTGTGAAGGAGAATAGGCATCTATTGGTTGAGTTTATTGATTATCTCCTGCAAAGTATCATGGGGATCATATCAGAATGTTATACCAGTTTCCTGGATGCGGTGAAGGATCAAATGCTAAAGCTCATTGAGGGAGTAAGATTCCTGAGTGTCCTTCTTAGCCTGGAGCAGGGGAAGTTCGATGAGCTAAATGATGCAATGATTGATCTAATTGGAGTTGCAGTCTCTGATGCAGGTATTGTGACTTTCTCCCTTTCTGCAAATGAAATGAAAGAAGGCTTGTGCAAGGACACAGATCTGGCTCTTTCTAACTTGCTCCAAGAGCTTCAGCTCATCATTGCAGAAGCTGCACATGTTTATCCACTAACATCATCATCATCACTCAGTTTCCCAAGGACTAAAGAACTGGGTTCTCTTGATTTTCTTCTAGAAACTCTCGAGGAACTAGTGAGTTCGACAGCTGATTCAATTGCTTTTCCAAACGATCAAATCCGCACAATCCTAGAAGATCTTGTATTCTTAAGATTTGTCCTAGGGAATATTGTGGAGCAATGCAATAGGGATGAAAAACTCCAAGCTCTTTGGAGTCGTATCATGAAGGTTGCATACAGTGCAGAATTAAAAATTGACTCTGCACTGCTTGGTGATAAATGTGAACCATGTTTGGATGCTGTTGCCAGAGATGTACATCTCATGAAGATTGAGGCTGAAGAGGTCTATGGTTGCATTAGATATGATGGTGAAACTCAAAGAGTTACCAAGACGACTATTAACATGCCATCACAAGTTACAGCTCCAATATCCACTGAAGCTCTGGTGGGTCTCAATGATGAGGTAGAAAGTATAATTGATAGACTTGTGAGAGGATCAAGGCAGCTAGATATCATTGCCATTGTGGGTATGCCTGGACTTGGTAAGACAACATTAGCCAATACAATTTATAGTGATCCTACAGTAGAGTGCCACTTCCACATTCGTGCATGGTGTTGCTTTTCTCAAGCGTATACCAAGCATAGTTTGTTAGTTCAGATTTTGTGTAGTATTGATTGTGAGAGCCATATCCAGTATCTTGACAATAATGAAGATGATATGGCTGACAAGCTACGCAAATTGTTGAAGAGAAATAGGTATCTCATCGTTTTGGATGATGTTTGGGACATTGTGGGGTGGGATTCGTTGAAACACTCACTGCCAGATGATTGCAATGGAAGTAGAATTCTCTTAACCAGCAGATTTCAAAAATTGTCTTTGCTAATTAAACCTGATAGCGAGCCACACCATCTTCGCCCACTTACAGATAATGAGAGTTGTGAATTGCTGCAAAAAAAGTTATTTGCCAAAAAAGATTGTCCTCCAACATTTAGTAAAGTTGTACTGAACATAGCAAAATACTGTAAGGGCCTACCTCTCGCAGTTGTCCTTGTTGCTGGAATTCTTGCTATTACTAAGCAAGATTGCTGGGAAGAAGTTGTAAGACATCTAACTTCCAGCATTTATGTTGACAATGAACATTGCATGAAGACACTTGAGCAGAGTTACAATTATTTACCAGATTATCTAAAGCCATGCCTTCTTTACTTTGGTGCATTTCAAGAAGACCGAGACATTCCTGTTCGCAAGTTGTTATGTCTTTGGATCTCTGAAGGATTTGTCCAAAAGACTGAAGGAAAGAGCTTAGAGGATGTGGCAGACGACTATTTGATGGATCTAATTGGGAGAAGTTTAGTTATGGCTGCCCAACAAAGATCTTTAGGTGGGATCAAAACTTGCAGAATTCATGATTTGGTACATGAGTTTTGTGTCAAGAAAGCAAAAGAAGAACGTTTTCTACAGATTTTACACGGGGATAACCTTCTTACTTTCACTGGCCCGTGTGACCCCCACCGACTGGTTGTCTACCCTAGCACAAGGCGGGGACCTAAAAAGTCAAGGCTATTTTTTCCCCATTTGTGTAGTTTGCTCTTCTCTGATTGTACTTATACAGAGCTAGATATAATTTCACGCAAAGTTCTGTCATCTAAACTTCTTAGAGTGTTGGACTGCAGGAATGATCCTTGGTCGAGGGCAGATTTTCCAAGCGAAGTAGTATTCCTTGTTCACTTGAGGTACTTGAACATTACGTCTGATAGAGGGGAAATCCCATCTGCAATAGCCAACCTCTCAAGGTTAGAAACTTTTGTGGTAGGAGGACCCCTTACAAGTTATTTCTTACCTAACACTATCTGGAACATTAAAACTTTGAGGCATCTTGTCGTTTCAGCATCACTAGGTGGTTTCATATTTCCCATCAACAGTCTTGAAGGTTCCCCGGATTTAGAACATTTAGACACTTTAACCCTTTCAATCTGGAACCCTTCTCGAGACTTGCAAAAGATACTGACAAAGTTACCAAGCATCCGCAGGCTAAGATGTGTGGGAGACAGTAATGGAGCATCTGCTGGAATTCTCGTGCTGGACTACTTGAGTCGACTAGAATCACTTAAGATGAGGTTTCTAATTGGATATGAGTTTGAGTTCCCATTGAATTTGAGAAAGTTGACTCTCATAGATAATAATCAGCCATGGAGTATAATTTCAGCAATTGGAAAGTTGCACAACCTTGTAGTACTTAAATTATGCCGTGTTTCCTTTCTGGGGAAAAAATGGGAAATGGAAGAAGGGGAATTCAGTAACCTTCGATTCTTGAAATTGTCAGGGTTGAATATTCGCTGCTGGACAGCCTCTTCTGATAATTTTTCCTGTCTTGAGAAATTGGTTTTGCATCAGTGTTATGATCTGGAAGAGGTCCCTTCTTGTTTAGGGGAAACCCTCACTCTTGGCATGATTGAGGTGAAATTGTGTCATGAGTCAACTGTAAATTCTGTGAAGCAAATTCAGCAAGAACAGATAGATTTGGGAAATAAGGGCTTAAAGATCATAATTAAACAAGAAATTGGTTAGATCTACTCAGAAAGGGAGTCGAAGCAGAGAAGAATTCCAGTCATGAGGTTAGATCTACTCCCTCGGTCCTAATTGTCTATGTTGGATCAGTTCAATGATATAACCATCCATATTTCACAAAGCAATTTCTGGAGGTTTCAATTCTTTGATTTGAATAGTCATGCATCTATGGAATCAAAACTATACATCCATCAGATATTATTCTGATGTGTTCTCTGTGATGTTTTTTTTTCTCATGTTTGATAATGCATAAAATCAATCATCCCAATTTCTAAAATCTTCTTCAATATGGCTACAGATCGGTATGATCCTTGAAACCAGCTGCACCCAAGCATAAATGCCAGGTACACATTTTTATTTGTTCTGTACATTTGAGCTCAAATAATGCTGACCAGGTCTCTTTTCTTGAAGCAAATAGCTGAATGACCTGAGACTTTCTTTATCCTTTGTTTTTAATTTTGAAATGCAAAGAATGCGCTCTTGCGGCCTTGTTGTGTAGAATATGTGTATATGGGTTAATGACAGCTTGGCAAGCATAGGAATGTTTTTTCCAGTTTTTTTCTTTTTCTATTTTCTACCGTCTAGATATACGAGTTTGTTCCTGCTTATGCCTACTTTTACCAAAGCTTCTGTTTTGCTATGTTCTTGTGGTTCGTTCCAGAGTATGTAAACTAATTGTGCTTTAGACGTGGCCATCAGCCATCTTCTTCTGATACCTTGATACGTATAAAGAAGCCAAAATCAGAGGAAAAAAAATTTTGAGATGTTGAAGTTAGAATATATTCTTTGTATCATCAAAATAAACCAGGTTAGATGGCTCTAATAAGTACTATTTTCTGTGTACTTAATCTTTAATAATAATTGCTTGAAGAGATTTTTCATGGATTGTTGTTTTCGATTGATCAAGTGAAAAGATGCTGAAAGTTCTGGGGTCAGAGGAAATGAGGAAAGGAACTTGAACTTGATGAAAGGATGTATTACAGGAAAATTTTTAGTATTTGGAGTGTTACTTTGTTCTTCATCCCGCTTAGTATGCATTCTGACTTCCCTGTTACAATTAGCTGGTAAAGTTGCATCTTGAACAGGTGGCTTTGAATCTATCAAATTAGTCTGATTTAGAATCAATATCTTTGGCTTGTGCAGTTTCAATGAGCGTGTCTAGGAGAGAGAGAGAGAGGGAGAGAGCGACCGAGAGACATGATGGCCATGTTCAATTTTTTGACAAATCATGTAAACAGACTTCAAGTTTGTAGACTTAGAAAAAATTGCATTTTGATTTAATAATCGCACTTTAATTTAAGCACATCTATTCTGATTTATCCTGGGAACGATTCTGTTGCACTTTTGTAAGAATAAGCTCCATCAACACTTCAAATTTATCCAGCTCCAATAATTTTTCATTGCTGATCAAACAGGAAATCGAAGATGTTTCAAGATAAAAATACACCAAGAAAAAAAAAAAGATGGAAGAGAAGAATATCCTAACTTCTGGCTCGTAGATCAACTACAAGCTAGTGGAAAGTGGAAACGAGCAAAAAGCAGGAGTACCAATTGGATGAATATCCTGAAGAAATGTCCGATTAATATATATTTGTTGCAATGGGATAGGTGAATTCAGGATATACAGAACAGGCTCTAGCTCTCTGCAAATGGCTATGGAAATTGATGACTGAAAGTAAAACTAGCTTTTAACGATGCCGTAATGGCACTATCACGAATCTGCATTGGTGCATTGATAAGTTTGTACAAGTCGTTTTCTAACACTTCAGAAGGTGAACTACATCCTGGATTATAAGCTGCTGGTAACTGGTAGTGCGTTGTCCATGTAACTTCTGCTATTCTAGGAATGGCTATGAAAGATATGTGTGCAGCATCTACTTTCTCAAACTCTCATTTTTTGACCGTTGGAAAACCCCTGCCCCGGGGAAGGGGGCGGCAGGGCAGGGTAGGGTGGCAGTAGAAAAGAAAGTTATCTGGAAGATATCCAGATACTCATTGTCTGTATGAGAAGCTAGCCTGATGCTCAATGCTGTCACATCTTCTGTCTTGCACCATTTGATATTGATCCAAAATAGTCAAAGGGCCAATGATATAGTTTGTTTCTAAACTGGCACAGCCAAAGTCGGTTTTTCATGTATAATTCTTATTCTATATTGCTCAAAATTGTAAAGGAGATGATGAAAGCCATTTGTTCAGGTAGTTCTTCATGTCTCCATTAGCCTTTCATGTGGAATTTACTTCACCTGCTTGGTGTTTTGTAGTCAATATATGTGCTCTCTGTTCTTTTACATCAATTTTACCTTTAGAATTGAATGGCAATTTGGAAGCACCAAAAGTAGTAGCCCTACCTTTTGCTGATGCAACTCACGAGCAGATGGTCCAATTTAGTGCTAGCTTTGTGATTTACCGGATATTTTTACAGTTTTCCCCAATTTAAGGTTATTGTGGACTTTATTCTTCTGTTCTGTCGCCTCACTTCTCTGTTGTTCCATTTCTTGCAAAGCTGAAAAACAGCATATACATATATTTAGATTTCTTTTGCAGGTCCTCCAAGAAAAAGCATCTGACGTTAGAAGCTTTTTGCTTGTAATTGTCAGGTATAGGTGCTCCAATTCTCTATTCTTTTTCTTCTACTAGTTTGTTTTATTAATTCAATTACCTAATGGAGCAGAGTTCTATACATATTACATACAGAAGGACAATCAAAATGAAACCACAAAGTACTGCAGCATGAATGAATGACTTGATAGTATTCTTGCACTACAGGCCTGCAGCGAATGCCTCAACTAGGGAAGTATTCATGATGCTGTCAAGGTTCTTGAATTGAATCTTTCCAGTGGATGGGTCGTCCAGTATTATATCAAAAACTGGAGGCTTTGCATGAGCTACTTAACCTTCATGCTCTTCCTGTTTTTGATCTTGTTCTTGACAGATAACCCCTTGATTCTAGGATCGTATCCCACTAGCTTGCTCACGACCTGAAGAAGTTGTTACTAGTAGCTAGAGGTGTCAAAATGGGTGACTTGAGCGGGTTTGGGTTGGGTAAAATGGGTAATGGGTTTAAGTGAGTCAACTCATTTATACCCATTTAATTAGATGGGTATAAATGGGTAAGTCAAAAAATGAATTGGGTAACCCAATTATCCATTTATAACTCATTTATTTTAACTTTTTGCAAACTCATTTAAATTCATTTTTGCAAACTAAGTTATCAATTTATACCACTCATTGTACCCATCATTAGTTTTAAATATTTACTTATAATATTCAATAAACTTAATTACCAATTTTTTTCATTTATACTCTATGTCACAAAATTACCTATTATTTAATAATTGAATAATACGAATATAAAAATTTGAATTAAGTACTATAAAAATTAATATAAAACTTAATCCAAAAATTTTGAACCCCTAACATTTTTTCATATATAAATTTAAAATTTCATTTTATAAAGATAAGAAAATAGGCTAAAATTTATCATAAATTGGTAATGCTAAAAAATGAGTAAGTTAACAAACTAAGAAAAAATAAAATAATAAGATAAAACCAACAAATAATAATAATAATAATAATAATAATAATGTTAACATCATGACAAAATGAAAAATTTGAAAAAAAAAAAGGTAGGGGAAAAGAAGAGACTTGGGGGGAAGAGAATTTTAAATGGGTTAATTGAGTTTGATAAATGGGTATTATTGGGTAACCCATTTATACCCATATACAAAAAATTAAGATACCCATACCCATCTATTCATGGGCGGGTATGGGTAAATCTAGTTAAATGGGTTGATTTGCCACCTTTACTAGTAGCCATTGTTACTCCCTGATGAAGCCTACTTCAATTGCATCAGGAAGGGAAGAAGTCCTGTAAAAATAGCAGTAAAAATTTCATTTGCTGTTAATCAAGTGGAAATGACTGTTGTAAATTTGTAATCCAGTGAAAAATGTGCTAATTGTAGGTTTTTTTCTCGAGAGGAAAAATCATGCACTAAATTGAATTGGACAGCGTGTATCTCTCAGTTTTTAACTTGGAATACATGATAGAGATTTGAGTTCTTGTTTCTATTAACTTGGAATAAAATTCTGGTTCTTGTTTCTATTAATTAGGTTCCAAATGATACACAAATGGTATCTTTGTCTGTTTTTGTTTGTTACATGAATATAATTTCGTATAATACTGATAAAAACAACAGTCACGAGATAATGTTCATTATTTACAATTTGTACAAAATACTTTAGAATGATAAATATTTCCCACTTTTTTTTCCTCGCTCTCTTCTTTTCCTCTTCCTCTCCAGTCTCCACAACTTCGCCAAAATTCACAAGGTCAGTTAATAGTGATAAATTAGCATTTATTTTATCGTGTATTCAACTCAGAGATTAGTATTCCTTGCGTATATCCTAAATTTATCCAAACTTGAGCCTTGCTTTATGATTAATGCTTTTCTTTTCTCTTCTTCTACTCATGCCACCGAAATTAGTATTAATATGGCCAATAACAGAGATTATTAGTGCAGTGATCTCGAGCATTCAAGAAAATTGAAAATGTGAGTTTTTATTTGCGTCTTGCTCATTTTACATGCGTCCTTTGACATTGTTGAACTTTCTGTTCATGCTGTTTGTCTTAAGAAAAATCCTGTTTTGGTTGAAGAAAATTGTAATGCCAGCCATCGATCATGAAAAGTTTCTCTTTCTCATTGCAACCTCTGATGCCCATTTTCTTCTGACTTGTCTACCTTTTACTCTGACCCTTCTGCTCATTTGATTGAAGTTTCATTTTTGGTGATCCCTAGATCTTAGATTAGTTGAATATCTAGACTGCAGTAATCTTTTATTTAACAAAAATTAATTGAAGTTACAGATTGTTTATCCTATTGCAATGGCCCCGGAAAATACTTCACATTTCGAATTGCTTGATCAAAATTGTAGCCATTTGCAATACTAAGTTTTTACCCCCCAAAAAAGTCCCACGATTCAGAGCTCAATGAATCACGGAGAATTTACATGTATTCTGAACTGGATTTGGAGGACTTTCACATAAATTTACATATGAAGGTGCACTGGAACTGCCATTGTGAGATCAAGATGAAACTATTGATTCCATTCTGCAGTGACTGAAAGAGATTTCCCCTGACTCTGCAGATCAGGTTTTGAGTCATTTAATCAGAGAATTTTAACAGTGATATTCTTGAAATCTCTACTTTGCTTTGCCATAATGCAAGGTTCTGAGCAGATGCAGCTGATACATTTCTTGGCTCATTGTATATTTTTGGCTATCATTGCTCAATGCCTATGTGATTTATGTTGGTTTGTTCAATATGGGGCGTGTGATGACATCCAATTTGAGATTTCTCAACTGCAACAGGATATTAAGCTGGCTGAATCCCCCATTCTGCGAAGCTTTAGTCAATGTCTGGATAGCTTCCAAAGCATTGTCAAGAGTATCGGTCACTTATATCCAGGATAAGAACAGGCATGTAATGGTGGACTTTGCTTCTTCTCTCCTAGGTGTTCCATTTTTACTGTTCCTCTGCAGGATCTAATGCTAAAACTCCACGAGGGAGTAAGGTTCATGAGTATCCTTCTCAGTGTGAAGCAGAAAAAAATCTCAATTCCCTATGCGACAAATTGAAGGATCATTTTGGAGTGGTGTTCATTGATGTTGGAATTCTGATTTCATCCCTTTCTGTAAATGAAATTAAAGATGGTAATTAATCAAATCTGATTTCATCTCCTGAGACCAATGACGAGCTCTGTTAATTTTCTTCTGTAAAATCTGAAGGAACTAGTAAGTTCTCAAGCTGATTCAATTGGTCTCCCAATTAATCAAATCCAGAGATTCCAACAAGCCTAGAGAAAATCAGGGAGCACTGCAACCAGAATGACAAACGGCAAGCTTTTTGAAGTCATGTTATAGAGGTTGCATACAAGAATGAAGTAGTAATTGACTTAGCACTGTTTTGGTGATAAACATGAATCTTTTTTGGATGAGGTTGCTGGAGATATTAACCTTTTGAAGCTTGAGGCCCTAGAGATCAATGATAACATTAACTATGATGGTGAAATCCAGAGAATTACCAAAACTTCCGTTCACATGTCCCCATGTTTTACTGCCCTGATATCCAATTGTTGAAAAGATCATTGTCAGATGATGCCAATGGAAGCAGGATTCTGTTTACCAGGAGATTCAGAATTTGTCTTCACAGTTTCAATTAAACCTCACCATTTTCAGCCACTTACTGATGGAGAATTGGGAATTGCTGCAGAATAAGCTATTTTGGCAATTGGCAAAGAAGGTTGTCCTCCATCACTAAGTAAACTGGGATTGTAAATAGCAAAAAACTGCAAGGATCTACCTCTCTGAATTGTCACTGTTGCAGGAATTCTTGCTACTACATAGCAAAGTATGCTGGGATGGTGTTGCAGAAAATCTAAGTTCTAGATTGTTCATGACACTGAGTACCGCATGAAAATTGAAAACCAGCTGAGTTACAGTCATTTACAAAATTATCTAAAGCCATGGCTTCTTTACTTTGATGCACTTCAAGCAGTCCAAGACATTCCTGTCTGAATATCGTTATGGCTTTAAATCTCACACTGCTGTAGGAAAAGATGTCACCGTAATGTATATTCTGAAAGAAAGTGCCATTCAGTACATGGAACTGAAATCAATGTCAAAGTGAAGAGACAGAGCAGTACTTAGTATTTAGCATTCACATACACACATGCACACGCAAATTGCATTAGATATCAATGAATGCTTGCAATGATTTTTATGAAATTATTGGGAGTGTTTCATTTAAGTTAAATCTGCAGCAGGGAGAGGCAAGGCCAAGACGAGAATCAAATTGGAGAATATGATAAATATACACACACACACACTCGTGTAGATAGTGAACAGACAGGCTAAGCAATATTGAGAAAAATAAATTTTGCTCAAGGAAATGCTAGAGTGATCACTGTGGTTTACATTTGCAAGGTTTATAAAAGATAAGCACTGCCATGTATATAGAGGATTTTACATCCATCGGAAGCTGTTCCCGCTAATAAATAGGATCATTTTTTCCGGAACGTGTAAATTGCATTAACAAAATAATCTGCAAACTGATTGATTAAAAGATCTCATGTTTGAAATCCCTTAACTTCATCAAGCCAGAGAGGATGAGACATCAAGCATCATACCAATGATTTGTTGGAATTGCACGTTTCTTTCTGCTGGGTAAAATGCAAAGAATTGGCAATTATTGTGACAAGAATTGGCTTCAAATCGTGATAGAAATCACTTTCCTTTAGGCTTTATTTGTCCGATATAAAGTGCAATAACCTTGGACAAATATCCTTTAGGATAAGATGAAGTTTGTTTGTCTTAAACTCTTGCACAAAGTAAGACAAACCCTTTGTGAACTAAGGAGTGCTTTGAGAGAGTACACAGTAGAAGGAAAGTGATTTTCTGCAGCAAACCACTCTCTACTTGACCTCTTTATATAGGAAGACTGTTTGGGAAACAAAAGAACTCATTAAACACTTGTATGAATAGATTCAAAGTATTGTTTATGAACAAATTCAAAGTATTGTGTACACATTCATGCACTTTAATTCATGCATCTCATGATCATTAGATTAAAACATGAATCTATCCTTTCATTCAATAATTCCCATATACATGAATACATTCATAAATGAATGTACATTTTAGAAATATTCACAATACTATACATGTACCAAAAATTAATGAATATACATTAATTACATGTATGTACATCATACAAATTTTGAAAAGTTTCCAACAATCCCCCGCTATTTTCAAAATTTAGAAAATGGATTTCTAAAAGGTCACCAAGTAATCTGACACTCATATGCATAAATAATGGTGTCTTTCGATTGAACCACTATTTTAGTGAAGGTTCTTTGAAATCAACCCTTCAAGATGGTAGACAAGCTTTGAACCACTTGGACATTCGACCAACCTCATAAACAGATCACACACTGAG